ACTCCTTCACGTGAGATGGTCTGATCGCTCCATCTCCATAGCGTTTGTCCTCTTGGACACGTTCTCTCCTTTGGCTGACATTTGGGGTCGGGTCTCATCCTATGGCCAGCATTAGCACCTCCGATTAGCACGATTGGCTGCTACCGGTGCGAAATAAGTTCAACATGCATGCAGCATCTTGTTTAGGGATGTCTTGCCCAAGCGTGTCTTTTATGTTATACATTTTCAATGTGAATGCCCTGATTTGTGTTTGGTTCCTGATCCATGTGTTCATTTCCTTTCTCCGCGTAATTCCAAGCATTCATTTCCCCATGCTTCTTTCTGCACTATTCTGCTTTTAGTCCATTTTCATTGCCAGTGGCCATGTTTTTGTGACCCATGCCCATGGCTCGCAGTGTGCATTAATTTAAAACGCTCTTCTTCAGACATTTGTATGCTCCATTTAATTTTGTCTAACTTTCTAAATGCACTCTCTCCTGCTGCTCTTGTCTCCTCTTTATTTAATAATTTTGATACAAATCTGCCTCCGGAAACTGTGTTCTGCGTTATTTTCAAGTTGTCTCCAGCGGTTATTTTATTTTGTTAATAACACATTTTTACAGTTTATGGTTCAATGAGGACAGCTGAGACTTGAACATCCAAATGGATGAATTTTAAACTATTCATGATCAATCGAAAATGCTCAAAAATGAAAAAACACAAACTAATCGATGTTTACAATCCTTTGAATTCAGCACATGCGCCAAAGGCTCGCCCTCAAGTCACAGTGAAAGCACACACGACTAAGGAAAGTTTACATTACGCCCCTCTCTGGGATTCGCAGTAGAAGCGCCTTAAGAACAAAGATCTAACCTCGAGTAACCTTTTGAGAATTCCGAAAGCAACAGGAAACAAACGTCACCAAGCCAGTTTGCAGAGCTTGTTGTTTAAACGATTATAACCTTCACCTAGCGTTACAACAACACACATTTCGTGAGACTACTTACAAATCTCAGAACATGTTTCTCTGCACCACAGCAGGAACGTATTTGTGTCTAAACCCATATTTACAGGGTGCATGGAAAACAGCCGATTACACAGCACAATGCAAACTCAGCCGGGAACATCCCAATGGAATAGACGGCTTATGCCAATTGAAATAAATACACTTTAATACGTTTTAAATGCTCTGTTTTTAGGAGCCCCCAAGATAAGCATACGTCATGTCTCACTGCAAGCAGTCAATAGGGAGGCAGATACCCTTCCACACATCCAGTTCCACCTGGAAACCAAATGGACGAGTGACTCACTGCTAGGAAAGTCACCTGCCAATAATGCTCATGGCTTGCAGTCTGCTCCTATGAGGCCTTTGCTTTAAGTAAGGAGTGCAAGTTCCCGTGCACCTACATCCTGCGAGTGCTTTTCCACATTTTCGCAATGCTTTTACCACCGCCACGGTTGATTACATGTTCATTTCATCATGTGTTGACGTAGCGGTGTCTGTCGTGGAACTTTATTCATCTCTATTGCAAGGGCAGTATTGAAACTTGGCATGCAACAATTTTCCGTACTGACGATTTAGGGCATTTTTGTGGGATTTGATTGAAGAATCGACCGGTGAACCTCTCGCATTGGTACAAGCTAAATAATTCTCACGTACTCGATTAGATGCAAGTGCGGTGAGCCTAAGACTGGATGTTGACTGATAAATGGGTGCCTCATTTCTTACGTAATTGAAACCCCAAAAAGGTCAATTGTAGTAATTGTATCACGTGTGAAAACAAGTACTCACGAGGCACGAGTGGCAATGCAGCAAACAAAGCCTGGGTTCGACTCCTGACTCGGGCGCTTTTCTGTGTGGCGTTTGAATATTCCTCCCTGTGTTCGCGTGGATTTTTCTGCGGGTCCTCCGGTTTATACCACCACATTTAGAAACGACGTCACGCGTTTAGAGTACTCTGCTGCTGGTTGTAGTAATAATAACAATAATATATTTTAATAAACATATCTCAATTATTAAACTACTAGCTTTCTTGCCCGTCCAAGGACGGGTGTATATTTCAGTAAATCTGAAATATTCAATAGAAAAATTGTTCAGCTCATGATTATTAATCAGTGGGGGGTTTCCCCATGTGGAGTGACGTCACCCGCTAATGGTTATTGGGGAGGGGTGCGGCATGTGGAGTGACGTCACCCGCTAATGGTTATTGGGGAGGGGTGCGGCATGTGGAGTGACGTCACTCAACTCACGATTATGAATGAGGGGAGGGTGGGCCTCATGACGTCACGCGCGGGACACGCACATTCTTGGCTCATCAGTATAGGCTGCTGTGCACCTATTTGCTGGCCACGCGTGTGCTTCACTTGCCTTTATACAAATGAAGATGATTTTTGTTTCGATAAAAAGTTGGCTTCTCTTTTTACCGACAATGATGGGGCTGGTTGGGGGGGGATGTCTTCTGCCCGCCTCGCCTCCCCCAGCCAATTATGGGTGGCACATTATCTTCTGATGGAATGCCAACAATAGTAGTAGTACATCTGCGAAGATGAGCCGAGATCGGTTTTCAATTCGGCAGCTCCCGCAGTCTGGAGAATGAGTTCGAGCCTGTAAAGTTGCCTAGCCACCCAGTATCACTTACATATACTCTATACACGCACTGCCAATCCTTTACCTGTGTGGGTGTGACCATGTCAGACGTTGATACCGGTCTATACAGTGAACTGGTTTTGCTGGTTGAGTGCTCTGGTTGCTTTTGTTTTTACAAAGAACTGCAGTTGTACAGAGGGGTGCCAAGGCCACAGTGCTTTAAAACATACCTCCGAGTGTTACGTAACTTTGAGGTGTTGCGCAATGATCTGTGTTTAAATGCCTACAGTGTCACCGTGGAAGACTCTTGAATCTTGCGGCTAATGGGTGTTAATAAACGAGGGCGTCGTTACGGACTTCGGTTTTGTGTCCCCGATGATGCGTCTCTGTAATTCAGCTATTTGAAGGGTTTTCGATCCGCGTTCGTGGCGTTTTGTTGCAACCATGTGCTTTAAAAAGTTGTGTTTTGGTTTGAGTCGTTGGATTTTTCTTTTTTAAGTACGTGCAGTTGGGTGTTGGGTTCCCAATCTGAAATCTCTTCTGCACGATGCTTGCATTCAAAACACATGTACAGACCGAAAAACCCAAAGAATATAAATACCCATCACTAGATTGACATTGTTATTAGGAAATATAACGGATTGTAATACAAATTGCCATACAGAATTATAAAATGAATATAAATTGCTGTTTCCAAAGACTTAATTGCTTCTAACAGGTCCTACTGGTGTCACGTATCGTGATTTACACATTGATTTTACAGTAACAGCCTGCCTGTAAAGAGTTATAATTTATCGTATGGAGCATATTTCAACTTATTCACTGCATCATAAAATGCAATTGTTTGGCAAATTTAGAAGGCCATACCAATTTTCTCCTGTCCTTGAACAGGATGTGTTTTTTGGAAGGACGTAATACAGTTTTTTTTCTACTATTTGCTATTTCCATTTGAAATGTTATTTAAATTAAAAGTTGGACTGCAAACCCCGTGCGTATGTGCACACATTTCACACACTCATAACACTTATAATAATCTATAGGCATTGCATTGGCTTTTGTAATTTATCACTGACGACTGATGCTGAGAATAAGTCTTACAGTCGCATAATTGCTATACTCAAAGCTGCCAATAAACTATTGAACAAAATGGTTAATTTTGATCACACACATAAACAAGCTCAGGAAGTGTGCAAGAAATTACACATCCCGTTGTGTACTTGAGTTTGATTGTAGTTTATAGTGGAGCTACGCTGATATTTTTTAAATTAAACGTAATATTGGCCGATGTGTTATTTTTTTGCGTAACTTTTGGAACCCACGTTGCTTTTCGTCTTGCTATGAATTGCCGCATGAATAAATGTACAAATACTCGGGGTTGTTCGGGGGCGCCTGCGGTGCCCCCTCACAACCATTTACGGCCTTCGGCCAGGAAAGTCCGGAAAAAAATTGCACATGAACGACGCAAGCACCCGATGCTCCGTTTTGACGTTTTAAAATTAAATATCTTTGAATTGTATTATGTTTTGAATTGGATAATTTTATTTATTCATTAAAAGCTTGTATCATTTTACATCTGGAAGACTTAATTCACACGTTTCTCTCGTCGTTAAGTAGATGGCCTTGCTGGGGGTTCGGTTCGATGCGGACTTTCACCTGTTTGGGATTGTGGGATCGAGATAAGGCGACAGAGCTAACCGTGCGAGAAGACCGCCGTCTGCAGATCGATTCCAACGTAATCGAACGTCTATCCCTGCTCCTCCGTCATTCATGCAGGGGGCGCGTAGGTTTGCAGCGCCCCCTGTAGGAAAACGACGGAAAGTGCAGCGTTCATCACAGATAGATAAAGTTGTGTGCGTATATAAGAGTTTTTATTGGCATTAGTCATAGAGCTTATATGGTCATGTACTATCAGACAGCCTTCACTAATTTCTCTCCCCTTGTTACACAATTATTTTATAGCAAACATTTTATACCAAACTTCATTTTAGAAGTTAGTAAAAAGCAGACCTTAGTCTTAACTATTTTTAGACTGATTTGATTTGTATTTGCCTACAAAACCATCATGGGAAATTTGCAAATGTTATACGGTCATATTAAAGTAGCCGCTTGGCAAACTGCATAGCTCCAGTGGCTTCCTAATATCGGAAGGAAGAGCATCCAAGACGGCTGCCGAAGCGCATCTGAATTGCGTACAATGTGGTGACCGTCTTTGTTCGATGGTTAGCCAAAAATGAGCACTGCATGCGTCTCACCTGAATGGACAACACTTATGATACTGTTGGTGTAACCATGGGTCTGTAAATACTGTTTAAATAAATGTAAATATATTTGTTGGTAATAATTCAAATACAGATACGTACGGTGCACAAAAAGGTCAATATACATACATCCGCCGTACTGAGCGTGTGTTTGTTGTTGTTGTTGGTGACTGCAGCCGCACGAGTTTGACGAGTGTCGCTTCGACGTCGGCGTCAACGACAACGTGTGGTACCTGAGAACGGAGCACCCGGAGCTCCGGCAGCAATGGATCGAGGCCCTGGAGCAGAGCAAGGTACGATTGGTTATACACAGACATGCGGCTGGGTCACTCCATACCAAATCGATCAAGAGTATACTTGACCAAACCCAAATTTAAAGAAATTTGGTGGACAGCTTTGCCTTTGGTGAAAAAGGCTGACACCCAAATATTAGGTCAGTATGAGCTCCAGATGTTGAGGTCATCGATATTTGACCTGACAATACCGTTTGGTGATCTTGGTTTTGTTACTTCCCTTGTAGTTGATGTAGCAGGGGTATGTGTACATGCGGCCGATACACGTGCACCCTGGTGAAGACATGGACGCTTGCTCATGGGCAAAATGGATTCCACCACTACATTTTCGCATTTTATTCATATTAAGTGTCACCTAGGCTTGGGCTGTAACTTATGCCTGCTTTCAATAAGTGTTCGGGTGATCATATTGGCCTTGTATGTATTGCCTGTGCCTGCTCTGTCAGCCAGCGGCTCATTTTAACGTGGAGTCAAGTAAACTGGAAGTATGATTTTGTCCTTTGGCCCGTTAAACACTGATGCTCGGTCATGAGCTGGTGTAAGTAGCAGCAACGTATTTCACACATTCATTTCATACATGAATATGAATTAATTCGACATATATGCTGGGCTGTATCGACTTGAAAGATCAACATCACTACCCTGCTTGCTTGCAGATCGATGTGTCTCTGTTTTATCCATAAACGATACAAAAAACGCAACGTAGATACTGCATACATGACCCAGTTAAAGTTACAGGTTGTAGGGATTGATGAAAATGAGTATTTACCGTACTCTTTATTAACTTGGTTACCACTGATGCTGCACAGCAATGCACGATTAGGTTTTAAGTTGACTAGAGCCTGACTTGTAGATGGAGTGCTCTTGCCAAAAACGTTTGTCAATCCAGCAGTATTTGTTAAAGAAGCCTATTTATGCTGATGAGAGCCAGGATGTTGAAACCAGGCCACTGCTTGATTGCATGCTTAAACGAATGCCACTGGAATATAATTGTGTGTAAAGCACAGACAGTTGGATAGAAACATTATTACGTGACGAGACTAACGGATGTCTACTTAATTATTTAGTCACAGATCTGGGGGCTGGTTCAGCAGTTTGCATCAAATAATAGAAAAATTATCCTTAAAAAAATTACCTTTATATGCCCTACGATTTGTAATGTACACCACCAACTTTTGTTTTTAAAAGCAGTGTTTTTTTATCTTAAATTCAAATCTGGACTAAATTTAGTTCAAGTGCCCCTTTCACTTAAGTTCTACGATATTGTGATGGTTTGCATGTCGACATGAGAACTTTAAATTATATTTATATTGGTGTGTTTAAATCACATTGGCATTTTACAAGTCATATTTTATTATACTGTTTTAATCTTATCCTTCGTGGCTATTTACACCTGTAATCCAGCACCGCGGAGGCAACAAGGATTAGTGGATCGCATAAATATTGTGAAACGGTCTTTCCATGGGTGTTGAGGTGCCATACCCTGGCTTTCCATGAGAAGGCGTTACAGAAAAGTGTGAAATTTCATCTGTTCCATCTGCATGGGATACAGTATTTCTCCCTCACATGCGTGGGTTTTCTCCCGGTGCTCTGTTTTCCTCCCATATGTATAAGCACTCATTGATTAGTTGATTAAATCTTAACATATAGGGAACTGAAAAGCTTGGGCAATTGTTGGCGCCAGCTCATCGCCTGCCTTCCTGCCTTTGTGGTTCCTGGCACCGCCTCTTTGAGTCGATCTGTCTCCTCGAGAGCGACGGATAAAAAAGTTGACACTATTATTATTAATCTATTCCTGTGTATATTTTTGTTTTGAAACTCTTATCATCTACTAGATGGTAGCAGGTTATAGTAATGTTATGTTGTTAAATGCTTTGAGGTTGTATGTCACTTGTGTAGAGGTGTAATTGCGCATGGCTACGAATGTTGAGGTGTGATTATGCATGGCCACGGATGGCCAACAAACACAATGGGCGGGGTTACGGCCGTACACAAGGGTGGCGCTAGCACCGACGTCCGCATGTGTATCCCCCACGGGCCCCCCCTCGGGGGCGAGTCCTATAAAAGGTGATGAGCTCGAGGGCTCGGGGTCGGGACTCAGCTATAACCAGAGAAGACGGAAGACCAGCTAGTGTAGGCCCCAGAGCTCCCCTGGCTCGCTGTCCTTATAAGGGCCGACCAGGGCAAGCCGGTGGCGTGGCCCCGAGAGCCCAGACGAAGCTGGTCTGGTGACTCAGGGAGCCGGGATCCCAGCTTAACCAAGCTGGGACAGATAGCCTCCCCTAGTCCCGTAGTGGAGGAATTGGTATAGGTTAGAGGGGTTAGCTGTCGAGAAATCCCTGTAGCCCAGTGACCTGTAAATAACTGTGTTGGTGTAATAAATAAGTGTGCCTCCGATCCTGTCGTCAAGCCTCCATATACTTACTACATCTGGTGTCAGAAGTAAAACGTCCAAACGATGGACACACGAGGGACGACACGTACCAAGGAGTCGGAGATGGAAGACGCCGCGGCCGATTCAACACCAGAGATGGCCGGGGTCGGATCGGAGCAGCCGGGGCCAAGTACGCCCGTGCCGCTACGACAAGAGGGGGGGGATGCGTCGGCTGAAGGACTCCGGCTGGCCCACTCCCGCCTGGCGGAACTGCTCTACGCCGCCGCCGCTGCGTTGGAGGAGATCACGCGGCTGGGGGCTGGAGGGGCAGCGCGGGTCGACGACAGCAGCCGGCGCGCGGCAACGTTTCCCGCCACCCCGACGCGGCTGGCGGTTAAATTTCCCGCCATCTCTACAGTGCGAGCGGACGGCGGGGCCGGCCCGCGTCACGTGACTGCTGAGCGCCAAGCACAAGCCGTGACATCATCAACACCGGCCGGCGCGTCAACATCGGAGCGACCGGCGATGCCATGTGCACAGCCCGCCCACACTGTATCATCGGCGGGGAGCGACGGAGAGCGATCTACAGCCACGGACGTCGCCTTGCAGCAGCGTCTGCCACCTCTGAAAGAATTCGTAGGCGCAGACGGAGACTGGGGCGGCTTCAAGAGACGGTTCATCGCTCATCAGGAGATGGCGAACTGGACGGACGCCGAGGCTCTACGCGCGCTGCCAGCGATGCTGGACAACGACGCCCTGGCTACCCTCACCTCGGCGCCGAGGGAAAAGCGCGCCACCCTACACCTGGCGTTGCAGCTGCTGTCAGCCGTCTATGGGCCGCCTTCGGACTGCAGGCAGCTTTTCCACGATCGGCGTCGGGGCACCAACGAATCACCTCTGGCCTTCCGGACTGCTCTCCTGGCTCTAGCGAAGGCTGCTTTCCCAAGGATGGACGAGGAAGGAGTGGATGCCATGGTGGCTGAGAAGCTGCTGCTACTCGCTGATGAGCTGGACGTCAACGTCCTGGCTCAAGACGACTCAGAGATGTCGTCCCTGCTGGTCGCGCGCCACATCCACGGGGGCTTGCGGTCCCTTCGTCGAAAGGCGGCAAAGGGGGCGGCCAGCCATGCCATGGCGGCTACCGCCCTCCCATCGGAGGAGGTCTGCGGGGTGGAGCGGCGAGGGGAATGGAGAGCGGCAGTACCACAGGCTCGGAATGGACCGAGCCGCCAGGAGCAGCCCAGGACATCGGGGGCGCTCACACGCTGCTACAACTGTGGCCTGCAAGGCCACGTTGCGTCAGGATGCCGGGCTCCCCGTCAGCGCGGGGCGACACCTCGTCAGGACGCCACGCCGTCTCCTCCCAAGCTCCAGCAGAGAAATACGGCGAGTCGCGGCACCTCACACGTTTGGCCCACGCACACATCCGACACACACTCACGCGCCCAACTAAACAGGGCTCCAAATTCCCCATCCGTCGCGCGCGATCGTTCGGTAATGCGGCGGGCGCTCCAACCGGGTCAGTGGTCGGAGCTCGCCCATCGTGTCGTTGCTGCGTCGGCGGGATCTTCGGTCGTGGTCGGTCACATTGATGGGGTAGAGGTGCGGATTTTAATTGACACAGGGGCATCGGCGACCATTATATCTGATTTAATTTATAACATCCTTCCCGTTCAAAGTCGTCCCTTGCTCCCTGTTGACGTGCCGTGCTATGCCGCTAACGGGGGCTCTCTGGGCATTATTGGCCAAATCCGCGCCACTATCTGCATTGGGGACATTAAATTATCCGGGCCTGTTTTGGTTTCCTCCTCACTCGCGGTTCCGTGCCTGTTGGGGACGGATTTTCTGGCCAAAATGCCCATCCGCATCCTTATTGACCAAGGGTGCATTGAGCTCCCATCGGGCCGACGCGTTACATTTCTGTCTTCCCCCACCACGGAGCGTCGGGCGTTTGCCACCGTGCAGGCGCTCGTCACAAAAACTGTGCGCGTGCCTCCGGGGGCTCAGATGCTCGTCCCTCTTAGATTGCGTCGGCCGTTTAATGAAGGGGTTGCGGATCGGGGGGTCTTGTTGGGACCATCTCGGGCCGGGGTAAATGGACCAGATTTGCTCGCGGCTCAGACCATGGTGAGGGGGGATGGGGACCCCTTCATTGCAGTCCTTAATGTGGGATCGCGAACGGCCGTGGTTCCTCAAGGGACCGTGCTTGCACACGCAACGCCGGTACCCTATGAGGAACCACTCGTGGGTCAGGTATCCACCGATCCTCCGTCGCGACCGCATTCGGACTGTGATGACGGTTGGCTGGATGCGCTTTGCGCGGGTTCAGTGGACCTGTCCGACTCGCAGCGCGCGCAGCTGCGAGTTCTTCTGAGCGAATTTGCTGACGTTTTTAGTCAACACAAATTTGATATTGGTTGTACTAAATTGCTGCGACACCATATTGACACGGGTGACAGCGCGCCAATCCGCCAAAATCCCTTTCGGTTGAGTCCCGCCGAAAAGGATCATGTCAAATCGGCTGTTGATGACATGCTAGCCGCCGATATCATTTCCCCTTCCAATAGCCCGTGGGGCGCGCCGATCGTTTTGGTGAAAAAACACGACGGATCACTGCGGTTTTGTGTCGACTTTCGGCGTCTGAACAAAATCTCTGTGGCAGATGCGTACCCGCTTCCTCGAATGGATGAGTCGCTCGATGCCTTGGCGGGGGCGCGATTCTTTTCCACCCTCGATTTGCTATCTGGATTCTGGCAGTTTCCTCTGGATGACGAATCAAAACCTAAGACTGCTTTTCGGACACCGCAGGGTCTCTTCCAATTTAACCGCTTGCCGATGGGTTTACATTCTGCGCCGGCAACTTTTCAGCGGTTAATGGAATTGGTCTTGGCAGGGTTGCAATGGGATTCGTGTTTGATTTACTTAGACGATGTCATCGTCTTTAGCAAATCCTTCGAGGAACACCTCCAGAGGTTGCGTGCTGTTTTTCTCAAAATGCGGGCTGCCAATTTGAAATTTAAACCACAGAAGTGCCATTTACTCCGCGAATCGGTGCGATATTTGGGTCACATTGTTGGGCGCTCGGGGATATCCACTGATCCCGCCAAAACGGAATGCGTCAGCTCCTGGCCGACTCCCACCTCTGTGGGAGAGGTCAGGAGTTTCATTGGGTTCGCGTCGTATTATCGGCGATTTGTGGCTGACTTCGCTACGATTGCGAAACCTTTGCATGCCTTGACGTCCAAGGGAGTCAGGTTTCATTGGGGGCCGGAGGAGGAGGCTTCTTTTCACGCCCTCCGGAATGCTTTGGTGGGGGCGCCGCCGTTGAATTACCCGGATTTTTCACAACCCTTCTTGCTCGATACAGATGCAAGTAACACGGGCATCGGGGGCGTGCTGTCCCAGCTCATTGGGGGCGTAGAGCATGTGGTGGCTTACGGTAGTCGGGTACTGTCTCCAGCCGAACAGCGGTACTGCGTTACCCGTCGGGAATTATTGGCGATTGTTTATTTCATTCAGCAGTACCGCCCGTATCTGTACGGTCGGCGGTTCACCGTCCGTACAGATCATGCGGCCCTACAATACGCCCTGCGGGTTCAACAACCATCGGGCCAGTTGTCTCGATGGTTGGAGATTCTCCAAGACTATGACTTTGTCACCACATATCGTAAGGGTCTCCGCCACACGAACGCTGACGCCCTGTCGCGATTGCCACCCACTTCGGAGTGCGCGTGCCTCTTGGGTTCGGGGCGTTGTAGGTCTCCGAACGTCACCACCGATTCGGTCCTCGTGGCCGCTGCCGATGCACCTTCGGTTTCGGGTCCTATCGAGCAAGAAGGGAGGGATTCGTTGCTGGGGTTGTCAGTCGCGGAATGGGGTCGCCTCCAAATGGAGGACACCTCCCTCCTCGCTCTGCGCCGTCGCGCCGGGGGGATTGGCCAGGGGGTGGAAAACGTTGACTCGTGGGGGTTGTTCCAGGGACTTTTGATGCACTGGAATGGTAAAACCCGGCGCCAGCGGCTCGTGGTGCCTGCTGCTTTAAGGGGTAAGGTGGTATGGGCTGTTCATGAGCGGCTTCTGCACTTGGGGGTTCATAAGACCTTTGCCACGCTCCAGCTAGATTTCTTCTGGCCGGGCATGGAAAAGGACGTGGGGGACCTCTTGGGGTCGTGCACGCAATGCGCGCAGAGGAAGCCACCTGCTAGGGGATCCAACCCTCCGCTGCAGTCCATAAAAGTTTCCAGGGTTAACGAGCTCGTCGCTCTGGACATACTTGGCCCATTTCCCGCTACACCCAGGGGCAATAGGTATTTACTAACGGGGGTTGAATACTTCACGAGATGGCCTATGGCCTGGCCCCTGGCGAACCAATCGGCAGCAGCCATCGCGGAGGCCTTTGTCCAGGGCTATGTCCTCGACAAGGGTGCTCCGGAACGGCTGCTTACTGACCAGGGTAGGAATTTTTCTGGTAAACTCCTACGTGAGGTGTGCGACCTCTTGGGTACGGAGAAGGTTCGGACCTCTCCGTATCACCCACAAACTGACGGGATGGTGGAACGGCTGCATCGGACCATCACGTCCATGCTGTCCCAGCAGGTGTCGGTATCCCAGACGGATTGGGACCTCCGCATAGCCGGTGTGTTGCAGGCCTACAGAATGGCTCCCCATGCGGCCACCGGATTTTCCCCTTTCTTTTTAATGTATGGGCGCGAAGTTAACCCTCCTGTGGCGACCCAGCTGAAGCTCTCGGCGCTCCAGGCGAAGTCTAAGTTGTCCGAACACGTTAAATTTAACATCGCTCAATTGTCTGAGGCGCGGGAAGCGGCCGTGCAAAATTCTGAACTCCGCCAGAAGGCGAACGAGAGGCTTCGGTTGGGGCGGGTGCAGGTGGTCAAATGGGTACCAGGGGACAGGGCGTGGTTGCACTGTCCTCAGGTGCCGCTGGCAACCTCGTCGAAATTGGTACGGCCGTGGCGGGGGCCAGTGGAGGTCGTGCAGGTTTTGCGGCCGCAATGTGTTCGCGTCAAATGGGGGAGGCGCCGGTGGTATGTGCACCCCTCAAGGTTAAAACCATTCGTCACGCCGCCCCGGGGTTCACACACACACACGCATGGCCAAACGTGTGAGGGTGTCGCCGACTCCCCGTCGTCGCTGCACTCGCCTAACCTGACGCCAACTGTTCCGCCCCCAGGTGAAACAGGAGTGACGGGCCCACGCCCACCAACCCCTCCCGGAGGGGTCGGGGGTCACTCGGCAGCGGAGCCTGACCCTCTTGCACCCGGACCGTCAACAACCGTCACTGAGCGTGCCGGGACGGACCCTTGTGACGGACCCGCCGCGAGAACGCGCGCCAAAACGCGCAGACTTTTGTGAGGTCGGCCGTTGGGGGGCCTTGCGGACAAAAGGGGAGGGGTGTTGTGAGGTCGGCCGTTGGGGGGCCTTGCGGACGATGGGAAAGGTGACGTCCGGAGTGTATATATATGTTGGTTTTGGGGTGTTATCCGGGGGGGGTGCGTCGGGTTATTTTTTTCTCTCTCTCTCTCTCTTCCTCTCGTTGTTCTTGTTCTTGTTAAAAATTACGCGAGGCACACACACGGGGTTTTTGTGAGGGATGCACCTTTATTCTGATTTTTTTTTTTGCAGCCAGGGACGGCTGCGAGCTGTACAGGGGGGGGTGATGTAGAGGTGTAATTGCGCATGGCTACGAATGTTGAGGTGTGATTATGCATGGCCACGGATGGCCAACAAACACAATGGGCGGGGTTACGGCCGTACACAAGGGTGGCGCTAGCACCGACGTCCGCATGTGTATCCCCCACGGGCCCCCCCTCGGGGGCGAGTCCTATAAAAGGTGATGAGCTCGAGGGCTCGGGGTCGGGACTCAGCTATAACCAGAGAAGACGGAAGACCAGCTAGTGTAGGCCCCAGAGCTCCCCTGGCTCGCTGTCCTTATAAGGGCCGACCAGGGCAAGCCGGTGGCGTGGCCCCGAGAGCCCAGACGAAGCTGGTCTGGTGACTCAGGGAGCCGGGATCCCAGCTTAACCAAGCTGGGACAGATAGCCTCCCCTAGTCCCGTAGTGGAGGAATTGGTATAGGTTAGAGGGGTTAGCTGTCGAGAAATCCCTGTAGCCCAGTGACCTGTAAATAACTGTGTTGGTGTAATAAATAAGTGTGCCTCCGATCCTGTCGTCAAGCCTCCATATACTTACTACACTTGTATAAGAAAAATATCAGGGTCTATGGAATTTGATGTTTTTCTTTTATGAATAGCACTGTTATTTTATAAATCTGGTCTGTTTTCTAAAGCTGGGCACTCTGGCATTTACTTTATTTGGCTCTGTAGTAAATCGAAATTATGCTTGCATATCATTGGTAAGAGGTGGCGCTTTTGTTCATGTGTTGACATTCTGCTGAGGCAGCCGAAAACCTGCCATGCTAAGCTCATAATGTAATGGCATAGAAACTGTGGATATAGCACTTTGGTGCTTTAAAAGCATTAACAATGAGGTATCGGCCATGGCGAATGTGTTTGTCTATGGATGCCTCATTGTGAATGTGTTAGGGGGGGTTATGGCTCCGCGGAGAATTTTACAAAACATGAAATATTTCTCTCCTGTACTTGTTTATATTTAATTATCAAATTGTGATCACAAAATGTATGAACATTTTAGTCCTAAATGTTCTGATTGTCATCAGAGTTTAAATATAAAAGTTATATGGTTGAGCTTCTTTGTCTTAGCAGAAATTAACTTTCCATTGAGTTTTGTTAAATAATTTTGAGTACATTATAACGTCAATATGAAAACAGCTATCTTACCAAATGTCCAGAGTATAACCCATGTCTGTGATACACTAAAGGCCAGATCATACACTACGACGTGATGTATACATAAACAAGCGCCTGGCACAACAGCGATTTGGTTATTTGGGTCAATGTTAGTGAAGGACAAGATCAACGGGAGAGCCGCTATGATGTGCCAGTCATTTTATTCATTTCAGTCGATCTTTCGAGAATCAACTTTATACACTACGACATTCTCATCTTGGGGACAACGTGTACTCTCTGCTGCCAAACTAACTCTTCAAGCAAGAGAAGAGAAGACCAATATGAGAAAGGTACACAGCAGCGCACAATATTTGGCGAATGCACCATGTTGTTACCGAAGTCGCGCGCGTGAGTGTGCGTTTATTGGTCAGCGCCGGTGCCCGTGTTAATGCCGATATTTCTTAGGGCTGGCATTGTTTCCGTGGCAGAATCTGCAAGCTGCTCTGCTAATAGAGTCGCCCTCTTATGTGACCCCCACCACCGCCATCGCTTTTTCCTCCCTCCACCCATGCCCATTAAGCAGAGTGGTTTCGAGCATTTCAGGAAAGGTTAATCGTTCTTACAATATCTTGTTTTCATTTTCCTTATCTAGGTTGCAGATTGCTGCAACCTAGATCACTTTTCCGGCTATTTTTGAATGCCCGACAAGTTTGGCTTATTCTCTTTTATATTTTTTTAAAGTCTTCATCGATTTTAATGGCACCATGTAAAAGGTTTGTCGAGGCTTGTCCAGGACCAGGAAGTGACTCTTACCCAGGCCTCATGGTTCCTGGAGGAGCATGGCAGTTTGAACAATCTAGAGAAGCGCTGTCTCGTCTCCTCCCAACATCTGCAGCATCTGGGTGCAGTCGTCAGGAAGGACCTTTGCTTCTGTGCTCCTCACGGAGAAGAGATCGGAGGCAGTTGGACAACCCAACCCGTTCGCCTGTCACAGCTCCAATCGGTGCGGGTCATCACTGTATTGCTTCTGCTATTCAATACAAAAGCAAGAAATAGTTTGAACTACAACTGTGGATCCAACAGTGATGATTATAGTGTTCCTTGGCAGACACCACAACATCTTCCACTAGACACAGGTAGGACTCGACAGTGATTGTGAAGAACATTCACATATCGTCGGCCGTGTAGCTGGTCACAACACATGTAGCCTATGTAAGAAAATACATTTAATGTTGGCTTTGCCAAGATTTGCCGTTTGAATTGTATATACATACAAATAAACACCTTATAATAATCCTGATTTGTGATTGACGCCAGCTGTGATGCACTTGCATTAGGTGATCATTCCTCAGCTTGTGTATCATGAGCCAAGCACAGCATTTGGCAACAAAATGCCACCCTCCAAACGCTGACCTTTGAAACCTTCGTGGCTATTCTATTTTTATACTTTTCACTTACTTATCATAAGTAAGTACTGAAAAACAAACAGTCTAATTTTCAACCGAGAAGATGGGTACAAATTGAGCAATCATTGGAAGGACCGTTATTAAAAAGTCTAATCATTAAAAAAAGGATTCCTGTATTGAGACCCAGCATCTTGGTGGGAGGGGTGGGGATGTATTTTATATTCTTACCCCAGCTATTCTGTAACTGTTGCCTGCGCATCTTAGAACGAAAGTGAAAGGATACTATTTGGTTCTAAGTGTCTGTAGCCTGATGTTTAATTAGCATCTTCTGGTGCAGCACACTGTGCAGACGGGGTGGCAGGCTTGCTCTCAAGTACCCATTACTCGTGAGGCATGCTCGCTGAAGGGGCCTGCTCCCTCGCTTACCTGCAAACAGGCCTTCACTCGGCATACATCGGGATGGAATTTCAATGCTGTTGACTCGTGAAACGAAACAAAACACATTATCATGAAACACATTGTCAAAATGTAAGGGCAATGTGCACAAAACCGAAGCTTGGTTCAATCATGATAACATGTTTGCGTGTTACCTTTTTTTAATTCTATTGTTTATTTAGTGTAGGGTGATGTTTTTGTCACATTTCCTATAAAACACACCTAAAACCTTGGGTTTATATCTTTACGCCATATTGGTCCCGTGTCGACCTCAAAGTTGGGAAGCTGTTGTCTGACATAAGATTTTACTAAATGTAAGAATCCTGTAATAAGGATATCAAAAACTACCGGTCAATTACTAAATAATGTGGATTAATTTTATCTTCTTGAGATCACCATTGAACAAGGATTCAAATCACCATGTGCGGTCAATCACTGTGAAGTCATTGCTGGCATGACTGCCTAATTAACTCTATGAATTGTGTTTGATGCTGCTGTCAACGATACTGATTATTAGCGTGCACCACAGCAACCAGTAGCAACAGAGCTGATCACAATAGCACACCCGTGGCTCTGTAGGCGAACCATGCCACAAACACGGGACGCTTGTGCCTAATGCTCATTTTGAATAGTACCGAATAACCAACTCCTTTCATACATCGCATTAAATGTACATATGGTGATATAAAAGGTAAAGGTTCAGTCCTGCAATGTATTGATCAAACCACTGCCGGTGGAAGGGCCTCCACCAGAGGGAGCTAATTTATGCTGCCGGGTGGACAGAGGCAGGGCGGATTTAAGAACCTTGCACCAGGGCCAGGAGAATGAACTGGCGACCTCTGAGAGCGCAAACCCAGTGTGCTGATGATGCAGAGGGACAATCCCTTGTGGTGATATAGGGGGACAATATAGCAGACAACGTGTGGATCAATATGCAATTTGTAGGATGTATAACCCGAATCTCAGCATTAGGAGTGTCATGATTCACCCCCCATCCTCCCTGCAAATCAATGGATTGTCACAATTCAGTCACGATTCAATTGAGAAAAATCAATTCTGTTTCAACACTGCTTAATGTAGTGACCTCCAGCAGCTGCAGGGGGTTGCAATCGCCCATTACATACAACATATACCCATTGAAAAACAACCCTTCTTACACACACGGTGCAATGTGTGTCGATCTTGAGATTAGAAATTTATGTGAAGAATAACGCATTTAGCCTCTGCTTGTGAATAGTTATTTAGTACGCTTTCTGTTTTGGAATGCCTTTTTTTTGTATTTTCTATTTTCAATAACCCATTGTAGAGTAAATGTAATATTTCTATAGTAGGCTTTCCATTGGATCAATAAATTTGCCAGATTTGTGCCAAAACAGGTAATGGCTCTCACGAACGATGCTGCAACTCACTCAGTAGTGGAATGAGTCAGCATGCACACAGGGAGGTGGATATGGCATGAAATATCATGATGGTCCTGTGGGAATAATAATAATTTACACCTTTCACAAAACAGTCTCAAGGCACCATGACTGAAAAGAAGAAAGACATTAAAGAAAGAACCGGGTCGCAGCACGACAGCCAAAGAGGAATGTAAATAATGAGGATTTTTTTTTTAAATGGATAGGTTTTTAGTCGGGAATGGCAGATGTCAACACTGTCCAAGAGCCTGGTTATGTGGGGGGATCGGAGTGTGGCCGGCATTCCTGATGACCTGATTTGGCCGAAGAGGCCCAGCATCAATCGCATTTTAAACTAAACTTTTTGTTATTTCACCAGGTAGGGCCCACTGAGCGATATAGCTCTTTTTCAGAAGCCACCTGGCCACAAATGACAGCTCAACGAAGTGGCTTAATATATGAAAATATTTGGCAGACATACTCTAAATGGATGTTGATTCTTAATGTGGAGGGAAAAGCCAGAGAACACAGAGAAAAATCCACGCGGGGAGAGAGACATGCGACGTCCAAATATACAGGCATTGTCAGGGTTGGGTTCGAATGCGCAGCGTTCTCTAAAAGGAGCGGCTGTGGCGGGTATTCTGTAAAGCGCTGCTGCGTCTCACGCTGAGAAATCACAATCTGTAGTGCCGGTGCTCATTTTGCTGCACGACTCATCTCGCCGAGGTCATTTGTGCAGCTCCATCCAAACAAATTAAGGCGTTATTAAACATTTGTTATGGCCTGGAAATATTTTTTTGCATATCTATAACGGTAATTCATAGATGTTTATTTATGGTTTGCTTTTATTTGGGGTGTGTTACTGTGTTAAGGAATAATAGAGGAAATGTATACCCAGGAAAGCTTAGCAGAGGATTCCGATTTTTAAGAGCATTCTGTGAGTAATGGTGAGATGATTGTTTTGTTATTTAGTTGTCTGGAAGGAAACTGAAATAAATGTGTGGAGATGAGAAGAGGTTGATTTTAATCTGCACAAAATGTAAAAAACCCAACCTGTATTGTGTGCAACAGACGTCTCATGTTCCTGAAACATTTCAAAAAGTCACAGTGACTTGGGTTTGAAATCACAACCTTCTGAGCTGCTTGGCCGGACTATATGTGATTTGTGAAGCCAGTTTGAAATTGTCAACATGACAGTTTGTTCATTACATTGGTATCTCATGCTGATATAATGTAGGATTCTTTTTTATCAGCCCCCCTGCAGTTTGTGAATGATAGCCTTGGAGGCCATGGGACATGTAATGCTTCCTGTTATCTATGGGTCACCAAGGTATTGCAGACGCATTGCTTGGCAGTAAAAAAAAAAAACAATTGCAACATTAATATTCGGCTGTATTACATTTTCCATCCTTCAGCTTAGAGTTATCCTGGATTTTGGTGCAATGATTGCATCGTGCATACAATGCAAAGTGTGAGGCATCCTTCTCATCTCTATCGGAGACCTACTGCTCGGTACACCGAGTATTTGGTAGCATTCCAGTAGAACTTACTCTCTGAGACTAGAAGGGACAGAGGTGGGTCATTGTTGTATAGAAGAGCAATTTTCATGTTATGTTAAATAAAAAAAAAAGATTATCCACAATTATCTGTGTCACATGACAACATGACCTTCTCCTGTTGGCTTTATTCTTTGAAAGAACTGGCTAACAAGAACATTATCGTCCATTTTTTTGCGGTCATAAAATGTGAATAAATGGGCAAAATCACACAAGGGCCACAACACACAATATTACGTCACAATATTTAAATGCCTATACTTTAAAGTGTACTTTGGTGTAATCATGGGCTTGCACACAATGCACACAATTTATACTCACCATTGGGAATGTATTTATACCACTGTAAATATCATAATGAGCACTGATCCTGAACTGTGTGTCTGTGGAAAGTCTGGGATAACACGATTTGGCTCCCGCCTTATCTGTAAAAAAATATATCATTACCGGAAAATCGCGTTTCCTACTTTTTTTTTTATAAGCTGCTCTCTGTAATCGTAGCCAATTATGATATTCTCTGGCTGAGCTTGCATCGAGCCCATTAATGAGAAGTGCA